AATAAGAATAAGAAGCATTTTTCAAATATTAGATTCATATTAGGAAAAATCTTAATGAATACAACGTATTTTCTCCTAAATATTGTTTGTAGGCATTTAAGGAATAATTTTCATCAAAAGTTTATATATAAGATAAAACTATAGTAAATAGATAGCATTTTTACAGTTTTTAGTACCAAGAAAAAAGAATAACATAGTGTTGCCATAACAACCATAGAAAAACTGGCATCTTAGTATTACACTGTGTGTTGGCTTACAAATTCTTAAAAAATAATTTATTCTATAAAATGTGTACTTTAATATTTCTTTAACGCTGTTTTTGTTCTTATTAAGTCCTGGGGAACCCAAAATAATGAAGTTGCTTTAAATTAATATCTATGATAAACTGAAAAGTGCATTGTTGACGATAAAATGTCTAGGATCTGCAAATATCTTATGTGGGCATGGTTTGATTTATTAAAATGATACATTTTAATATTTATTAATTTAATTTAATTTTGAAATTTTTTAAATTATAGATCTTTATCACCAAATTCGTGTTCTTTCTGTAGATTAGTGCTGAAATAAATAAAAAAAAATTAAACTTTTTGATTCGAAAATAAGCCAATATAGTTTTTCCACAAGTCTTCAGTAGAAGCTTATAGTTTTTTTTCTGCATACTCTTGAGAAATATCAGTAAATCTAAAATGTGCTTCGTTTTCTTGTTAGGTGACAGCAACTTGAAATATATTTCTTTTAGTATACAACAAATTTTCTCCTAAAACCTTTGCACGTAGCTGAAATGATCCAAAATGACCAAATTTTAATTTAATTTAAAAATGTTAGAGTTTTTATCTAATGTCCATGTGTACCAGTTTTTATCTCAACAAGTTTCAGACATCGCAGTTAAGAAAAGCGTCTCTAGATATCGTATGGAGTTAAAGAGATTTGGAAACTCGAAGACGTTTGTTTAAGGGTATCTTATTATACCAATGATTGTCAATATTTTTGTCTTCCTACCACTTTAACCTAATTCCATACAATTATCGATCATTGGATATCACATAAGTTTCCACGAAAAAATACTTTGTGATACTCGATTGTAATTTGAATCAAACCTTCATGCAGTTGATATAGTAATAGATTTTTTTATAAAAATATTTTGTGATACTCCTTTATAATTTGAATCAAAACTTCATGCAGTTGATATAGTAATAGATTTTTTTTTTATAAAAATATTCAGATACTTCATTATAATTTGAATCAAATCTTCATGCAGTTTATATAGAAATAGCTTTTTTTAATGAAAATACTTTGTGATACTCCATTATATTTTGAATCAAATCTTTATGCAATTCATATAGAATGTATTGCATCCATATATACCATCATCATTTTCAAAAATGAATGGGTTACAATAATACTCATAAAGTAATTTAAAATGCGTTTTTATTGCATATTGAGAATTTTTATGGCGTGTCATATACAGTTTTAAGTATATTGTTGCGTTTTATTGATCAATAAATCTACTGTTGTAAAATTAGATGGTATCAAATTAGTAAATCAAGTTATATTATTTAATTGATTGTACATTGTTGCTAATGATATGCTAGTCGAATTAGTTTTATTGATAACTAGCAAACCGGGCGAACTCCGTTTCACCACCAGATGGTTTCATTTTATGTAACATATCGTTTGGTGATTAAAAGGTGAAGAAAAAAATTGCCCGCTGTTCAAATTGAATAAAAATTTGCACAATACACGTGATTGATTTATGGTTTCCAATTGAAATGTTAGAAACGAATAACTTATTTTTTTTACTTTTTTGCACAAATTGACAGTGAACACAATGCCGGTTTGTCACATACAATTAACTGAGCGGAGAACAATGAGTAGCTGTCATAAAAAAATAATAGTTTGTAGTACATGCTAAGTATCAGAGATTACGCTGTATGTGAAAAAAGAAAAAGTGTTTTCCGGTTTTCTGTTGAAATCTTTCATCAATTTTCTTTGCTATAAACCTCACAGTGCCCGAGACCTTTCCAACAAATGCAAAATCGTCGAAATCGGTTCGTGCGTTCTGGAGTTAATTCGTCAGGAAGGAAAACCCGACTTATTTTTATATAATAGATAAATACGAACAAAATAATATTATTCTCACAATATACATAAGGATTCACTTTTTGCGGTTGTTTTAGCATATTTATCTTTTAGCATATTATATATAGTTAGAATATAGAATATTGAGTATAGAACCCATGGCACCTTATATTTATTTATTCAAATAGTTATTAGCCATTAAAAATTTTGTGAATTCGGTTTTTTTTTTAAATTGACCGTCAAAATGGTTTATCTGGCCTATTGTAGCCTGCCATATACAACTTTTCCGAACAAATAGAAAGAGCTTTTCAAAACTTTATTTTATAAATTTTTAAACAGTTACTATATAAATTGATTTTCAGTATCTATTTCTGAAAGAAACTATTCCAAATTTATAATTTTCATAATCAGATCATCTGAATTATAAAAATGACCCAAAGTTGTGCTTATGATTTGTCTTGATTTTCTTGCCTTACTGTAAGTTAAAAATCTCCTGAATTGCACTAATGCGAAAAATGCGATTATATTTTATATGAAATAAAATTTTTATTATTTCGTGATGATTTATTTGGCATTATATTTTATTCGGCCTCGTTATGGGCAAATGTGGAATGTAACTGCGAGCTTAATTCGCCTCGAATTCCTGACGCAATTGCATAGGAAAGGCTGAAAGCTCATATTACTCGTTGCATATATATTGTACATTTCATATATGAAACTATGCGGTATAATATTATATATAGATATATTAGAATTTTTTATTAATGGAATTTGCAAACATTTTGAGAAATAAAAAATAATTTTGTCTAAATTTATATTACACTTTGCATATATACACATTTCACATTTGAAACTACACTGATATATTAGAGTTTTTTGAAAATTTGTAAATTTACATTGTAAGAAATAATTTTTTTTTATAGAAATATGGTATACCCAAAAATGCAGACACGTCTTTAGAAATAAACTTAAATAATTTGTGCTCTCATAAAGCTCCAATGTATTTTCAAACAGTGATCGTCGGAAATCCATCCAATATTACTGTCGGACCCTGCCTTCCATTTGTTTTCAATTTTTCATTAAACGTTTACCTTTAGGTTGATCGTTATTATTTAATGGTGGATTTCACGAAGCTTAACGTTTGAATGAAACTCGACGATATTTTTCCCCTTGTGAAAATGTTCGGAAAAAAGTGTTTTGTTAGCCATTAATTTCTGGTTGCTCTGAAAGAATCGCTGACATTGTTTTAATTGAATTACGAGCGTTTTGTGCACGGCCGACGGGGCATACGGCAATTAAAAATACAGGCCGCTTTTTTTATATAATATATATGTGTATATATATATATATATATATATTATATATATATATATATATATATATCTATATATTATATTATATATATATCTCTCTATATATATAAATAAAACATGAGTAATAAAACAAAACATGTGTTGGACAAATAGTGTTCAAATAAATATTTATACAATATCAATATAAAGAAAAGCATTAATTGCATATAATAGTGCATATCTATATTTGTATTAATAGTGTATATTTACACATTTTTCTAAATATATGCATAATAATATTTATAATAATGGATGATCTGCCCTAGGACAGGTCCGTAAGCTGAATTAAATTTCAACTCGAATCAGGGAAGAATAAAGTGAGAGATTTCCTATTGTCATTTCACACCACAGTGCCCGTAATGAGCGATTTTCCATTGAAAACATATTTTTGATCTCCAATTTTGAAATAAAAGTTGATATCACTACTGCATGGTATCAGGTTGCCAATTTAAGAAAATATGAATACTAAAATAATTAGGTTGGCAACAAAGTAAGTGCGGTTTTCACTCTTATATAGGTTCAATTGATATTTTAGGTTTGCTGATGTAGTCCAAATGTAAAACTTTTTATATAGTAGTATAACTAGTATAGTAATTATAGGCAACATTATTGAAGCAATTATTTTGGGTAGAAACATTCAAGATGATATAGTACCTATACCGCAAATGCTATATATTAATTCTTTCTGAAAATGTTATACCTTTTAAAAGACTTCAATTTCCGATTTTTCGTAAGATAAATTTGGAAAATCAATGTTTTAGTCGTGAATAAACAAAAAATCATTCATTTATACATCCACGTCTACAGGTATGACTAAACTTATTGGATAATTCTTGGCATTAAAATAAATTGAACTATTGGAAATAAATTTGTTGTATTAATTGCAGTGTATAATTTTTAATATACAATTTCATTGACAAGTTTTAATATTTGTTAAAGAGATAATTAAAGTGTAACTGTGAGAATTGAGAATCATAATTTTATTTGAAGCAGTTCTACATTTAACACTAGAAAGACGGACGCAGTCATTTTGACTGTTTTCCATTTTCAAGCATAAAAATAACTATGTATTTGAAGTCGCAGCTTCGTGAAATTTTGTGACTTTTTATACAACATACAAATGCGTAGATAAATCTATTATTTGCCTTATCTCACTTTTATTTTCAATATTCTTACATGTTATGCCTGCATGGACGGAAAACAGTCATTTTGACTGCTATAGAAATTTTACATTACAAACGGCTTTGTTATTTTATTGCAAATCGTTATCTCGCGTGCATTCATCTCCAATAAGCGATAATGCATTTGTTATATAAAAATAACCGAATTTTGGTAAGTATTGACATTAGAATGGTCTTTTTCACGTAGTAACTTTCAGTATAACGCGTCGTTCAGTTGACTTTTTAGAACCTATAAATAAAATGTCGAAGAGAAGTGAATTATTGCAAAAGCTTACAAACATAAGGGAAGAGTGTTCCGACATAGAATCAAATGCAGAAAATTGGGCACAATAATCTGAAGATGAATCGGATTATATTCCACGTGAATCATCTGATTCTGAGGGTAGCGATGAAGGTGATCACTATTGATAAAAATGAAAGTGCCATCAGTGTATGCAGGAGGGTGCTAAAAGGCTCAGAAACTGATGAAAGAATTCAAGAAACGGAAACAGCTGTCGATGGTACTGTATGGACAAAAATTGCCGAAGGTGGGTACTCCAGGAAGGTCATCATCTAATTGTGTTTTCAAGGGTGTGAAAGGGCCAACAAGCTATGCAAAAAGAATATTATTACAGGTGATCTTGTCAGTGCATTTTCGTTGATATAGATAATTATATCATCAAACACATAAAACAGTGCACAGAAGAAGAAGGCTGTCGAATTTTGGGGTACGATTAGACAAATCGTTACCGGAAATATGTGCATTTATTGGAATTTTATATGCTCGTGGGGCCTATGAGGCAAAAAAATTGAAAATGACTTATTTATGGTCAGCCAAGAAGACATGGCAGATCAAAGGTAAAGAAAATATTCCGTGAAATCCAGTTCCAATCCAGTAGATGACCCCTGCAAATATTTTTCAATATTTTGGATTTGGCTGCGATAAATGCCTGGATTCTTTACAAGGAAGCGACAGGAATAAAAATCCAAAGAAAACAAATCCTTAGAGAACAGTTTTCGTTTGAATTGGCAGAACAGCTTTCCGCGGACTACACGACATCAACACAAAAAAATCAAAGGAAAATGATGACCCACAGACATCTTGCAAATACCAATAGTAATAAAAGAAAATTTTGCCAAATAAGACTTTGTAATAATAATAAAACTAATAATACGTGTCAAAGTTGCAACAAACATGTTTGCGGAAAATGTACTCATAAAAAGATCTCAAATTATATTTGCATGAATTGTAAAAATAATGAATTTTTTTGTTTCGGATGAACTATTTTTTTAATTTTAGCACTCATAGATAATTTGTATAAATGTAAATAGTACATGAAATAATAAAAATTAATTTTAAACAAATTTCTAAACGCATTATTTATTTTTTTCACGGCGCAGTCATTTTGACTGTTTTCAGGCAATGTAGGTATACTCAATTCGTCCGTCTTTCTAGTGTTAATATTTAAAAACAATAATGTAATTCATGTCATACTTCAAATATGACATGATCGGTTTGTCATTGTAATTAGCGTTTAGAAATGAACTTTCATTAGAGAAATGAAGTAATTGCTGATTTATAAATTCTATAATATTCGTTCACACAGTGGATTATGTTAAACAACGCTTAAACAAATATTGTTTTCACAATTTCACTTATCATATAATATTTGTGTTTGAAGAATTTCATGTAATTAAAATTCACAAACATTCATTGACTGCTTGTATTTTTTTTTTACTTTTTCGCTGGCGATATAATCTCATTCGTTGAACAGCTGTAATATCTGTCTTGCCTAAAAAATATTTTCCATTTTAATAACTTCAAAGATTTATAGAAACTACGAATAGAAATAATTTCTAATCAATAACTTACGTTAGAACACGGCACAAATGTTCAATTTGTTTTATTATTTTCAAGGAATAGGGTAAAGTATTCTTCTGATTCAGGCATTTTTCATTAAATCAAGATTTGTACTACCATGTAACTTTAAACTTTATCTATGCCGGTACGCATACAACGACAAATCTCTATTCACATACACGACGGCTAATCACAATCGACCCGTATAGAAATGATATCATCGAGAGCAAATGACTAATCATTGGCACTCGACTCTTATCTTATCTTATCTCCCGTAACGCACTTCCGTTGCATTTGTACGGATCTACACCCTAGTCGCGCCTAAAGAAGATGTACTACTAACTTACTTTCAAAATAGATGTAAGTGAAAGATAAACTGTTTACAGCATTACTGGTTTCGACAAAATTTTATCTTACCATCGATTTTTGCCAAATTCGAAAATGTTCCTTTACCTCCTGTGTTTAATATTCATACTGCGTCCTTTACCGCACGATGCGTAAGAAATTACTTAATAATGATCCGCAATTTCATTTACATAATATGCATTTAATTGGAATTGATCGTTTGGCATTTAGTACTTGAAAGCTCCGATGATATATTTTATACATTACCGAAAGCTCGCGGGCGCAAATTAAAGCTACAACAATGCCATTGTTAACTTACTGGTAGTACTGGTGTTTCATTAAATCTGTTATTTATACGTTCCCTGTTTATAAACAGACAAAAATAGAACACAGCTTTTGTATAAGGTAAAACAAGTCGTTTACTTTGAAATAAAACGATTCAGTTTAATTTAAAATATGCACACTTTACAGGTATAATGATATTGTTTTACAAAGATTACGGAAATTTGACTAGTGTTTTCTTCAAAGTATTTGATCAAACAACATGACAATAATTTTAAAGTTGCCTTGGCGCTTTTGAATGCGAAAATGAATTGTGAGACTTGATCATATTGTAATTTTTTTTACAAAATACAAAAATTTGCTTTCTTGGTATGCTGTATTTATAAGATAAGATCTGCTACATTTTTGGGTGAACGGATCACACTATTTAAAGAATTATTTTCAATATAAATTTTAAGTTGTAAGCTAGCTAGGAACAACTGGTTTTAATTTCGATACCCACCTCGTCCAGCTTGATATCAAGCATAGGTGATATCAGATTTTCACTTAAGATTATATATCTGTAATATAATAATAAGTGAAAATATCCTTTCGGAGACATTTCTGTAATAAATATCTCAAAGGTCCAAAAAGGTATTATATTATATATTCTATATACTGATACTGTTATATGTCGACAATTCAAAATGTCTGCAAAAAAGCCAGTTGAAGGATCTTATGTAAAGCATTTAAAAATATTCACAATATATAAGATAATATAAGTTCTAGTGAAAGGTATGTCCGGCGACTTTGGAGCGAATAACCATCATTTGACATTTTTCTGTTATGTATCAGATTATCTATAAAGATTTTAACAATATCCATATATTTTTATTTATTGAAGTAAAACTTCTTTAGGCGCGACTAGGGTGTAAATCCGTACAAATGCAACGGCAGATAAGATAAGATAAGAGTGCCAATTATTCGCTGTCATTTCTATACGGGTCGATTGTGATTAGTCGTCGTGTATGTGAATAGAGATCTGTCGTTGTATGCGTACCGATATCAACAAGGAATTCGCCATAGATAAATAAACATTTTAAAGTTACATCGTAGTACAAATCTTGATTTAATGAAAAATGCTTGAATCAGAAGAATATTTTACCCTATTCTTTGAAAATAATAAAACAAATTAAACATTTGTTCCGTGAACTGAACGTAAGTTTATTGATTAGAAATTATTTCTATATTATTCGTAATTTCTATAAATCTGTGAAGTTATTAAAATGGAAAATATTTTTAGGCAAGACAGATATTACAGGTATTACAGCGGTAATCAAAGAATGATATTATATCGCCAGCGAAAAAGTAAAAAAATACAAGCAGTCAATAAATGTATGCTAATTTTAATTACATGAAGTTCTTCAAACACAATCACATGATGAGTGAAGTTGCAAAACCAATATTTGCTTAGGCGTTGTTTAACATAATCCACTGTGTGAACAAATATTAAAGAATTTATTGATCAGCAATTACTTCATTTCTCTAATGAAGGTTCGTTTCTAAATGCGAATTACAATGACAAACCGATCATGTCATATTTGAAGTATGACTTTAATTACATTATTGTTGTTAAATATTATACATATTTTTAATGCTATTATAAATATATAATTTATAACTTTTCATTATATAAATGTGTATAATGGTTGACACTAATAAATGTGTGCATCACGAGTGTTACCATATTACTAATAGACATCATTCAAAATTATTATATGATATATTTATTTTTACTTAACTTAAATTTGCTACTTTGTACAGTAGCAAATAAGTTTTACTTCAATCGCGTATGATCCTTACACGCACCCTTTTTTTAATGTTTTATAATAAAATACATAAACTCAACTATTGAATTGAATTTTATAACATCAAGCAACATTTGATTTGAGTTTGTTGTAAATATGTATATACGAAATTTGTTTGAGAAATATAAAATCAATTTTTGTTTGTAACAACTATAGTTTGCTTCTATTAAGTTACTGACTCAATATCAAATGCCTAACATTAAAAAAGTTGCTTCTGATTTTGAAAAGTACAAAGTAAACTAACAAAAATATTGCTGATCAAAAAAAAGTGGCACAAGCGTACCCAGTATCCCTGAAAAATGTGTATGTATTTTAAAAATTTAATAATAATTTAAAGATAGATAGGTTTTAGATAATAATAATAATTATATAAAAATATTATCATTGCTCCAGGATTAAATTCCTGATAGATACTGGATAAAAACCATTTTCATTAGATTATCCGTCTCAAAAGGAAGTTTATGGTTGAATAAAATGAATATTCATTTGAGCATACTTTTTTTTAAATATATTAAACTATTTAAGATATTTTTTCCAAATAATCGAGAAGAAAATCATTATACATTTTAAATTTGATGTATTCCCCCTAGAATATATCTACTGGGATTAAATCAGAACGTGGGCTCTCATTTTTGTCAAGTTCCCTGAAGATCAATTTTCCAAGAGTAATTTCACAAATTTCCACCATGTCATATAAAAATATAAAAGTAATATAATATAAAAATATATTGACTTCCATATAAAAATTTCAAATAAAAAATTATGTTTTCTCAATATATTATTAAATTTATTTATCAATAGTTTATTTGCTATAAATTTATTTATTCATTATTTGATGAGACATTAAAGTCTTGAATAACAAAAATAAATTATAACTAAAAAAAATGGTGTGATGTACTATTTTTTTATTCATTCATGAAGCAAGAATTCGGCAATAATTATAAATGATTTTAGGGGTCTAATAGTAGGGGTCTAAGAGTAAAGTTTATGACGGTAAAAACTAAAGTAAAATTATTTTATAGAATAATTGGCACATCTTTAATCTCTGAAATAATAAAGCTGAAAGGAACATATAATATATTAAATATAAAATTCGTTAAAAATTCCTAAAGTTCACTAAAAATTAATAGTAAATAGTCTAATCAACACCAGTTCAGCATGAACCATGTACAATGTTCGACTTTTTTTCTGATCGGTAAAAATATTAATTATTATTAGATTATTAATTAGAAATAAAAGACAACGATTAATAATAGTAAGATTACATAGGAAAATGTTTGGTAATAAAAGTATAAAATTTATTTAATAAATATTATTTAAAATTTTTGTGAACCTTGTTCATAATTAGTAATATGGATATAAGTTATATAGTACCTGGTCTTTTATTTCTGAAATGAAGACACAAAATATAGTTACCTGATTACCTTAATTAAGAGTTTTCTAAGCATTAGCAAGTTGTTTCCATAAATTGTGACATGGTCCTTATATTGGGAAATGTATTAACCCACAATAATGGATATTCGCCCAATGAACCAATTAATGAAAATTCAAATTTATATAATTTCGGTTTATCAAATTTTAGTTTATTGTACCGAACTATAATATGGTTCGTGTAATTAACATTATTAGTGACATAAAACGTAATTTAATACAAATATACCATTACCATATGCACTTTAACGAATATAAACGTCAGCCGCTGTTGGTATTTAATTACTGAAATTACAGAAATAATTCAGAGCATAAAAGCATTCCAAATATGTGACAGACGTTAAATGTTTAATATCAAATAAATGTCCATTATTTGATGGACAGTAGACACTATATTATTTCCAAATAACGTTATCGCCATCAATTGTTATTGGAAGCTATTTATTTCGAATTGGTTTAATGAGAAATTAGATTTATATTGCAACTTATGAGAGAACTTATAAACAACCATTTTTTGGCATATACATATTAATACACGATACTATATTAATTTCAATTTCATAAATAACAATAAAATTGCAAAATGAGAAAATTTTGTTCAAATTGTTTCATATAGTATATAGTGACTAGTACTTCTGCTATTTTACACACGAGACCATAAATTTTTTTTTTGGTAGTATTCGTTTTTTTGTACAATTGGAATTCAAATTCAAGAAATTTTATGTAATTATTAACAAGCTGAATAATTTTGAATATTGCATTCATTCAAAATACATAATTCATTAGTTGGAAAATAATATGCTAACAATGTATTAAAATATAATTTTGTTATAACTTTGTATCTGTTATTTTGAAAAATAATAATTGTTGATATATATATAAAATAGTTATAGGGTAGAAAGGAGTTTAAAGTTCTGAGGGTAAAAAGTTTTACCACCGATATCTCAAAAACAAGTAAAGCTAAAAAAAATTAACAACAATATTTGAAAGTAGAGGGAATAATGTGTAATCAGCCATTACCTTGATTCTTACTTTACTATAGGATGTTTTGAAAATCCATGACAAAAGTATTTTCTTTCGTTGTTAGTTTTTTTGATTGTGAGGACTATTATTTAGTTTACGAGACCGTAATATAATTTTTTAATATTATAATTTTAATATTATTTTAAATCTACATTATTTAAATATTTTATAAGATGTATTATTGTTTTCAAGTTTCATTCAACCGTTTTTTTACATATAGTAAAAGCTCACAAGTAAGTGGGGTGAAAAGGACCATCTGAGTTCTTACCCTAAAGATGTAAACAATGAAAAATAGTAAATAGAAAAGTAAATTAAGTTAAAGAAAGCACTTTTACAAGAGATAAATTAAATCAATAGATATTCCAACTCTGCTGATAAATATTTCTACCTGAACGAAATACCACATCAAGGTTATATACAGTTCTATCTCTGTAAAAAAGTGCCCATGAAATTCATATTTCGCATTGGTTGAATAATATACCTTTTGAGAACCGTCACCAGGTGTCAAATTATGGAAAAACAACAAAAAAACATGTTTCTACAATGATGAATTAGCCGAATTAGATAAATAAAATAATAAAATAATAATATAAATGAATTAGATAAATAATTAGCAGGGAATTTCACTGAATATAGTCAGCTAGTCTTTTGCTTGACATGTGTTGTTTATGGTGATATATTTTGGTTTGGTTTTCATAATATAATTGCTCAAAGTCAAATTGGACCTTTGTGCTGCGATCTACCTCATGTATGTATATATATATATTGTAATTATATAATTGTATATTAAATTGTAAATTTAGAATTTATATTGATAGATACTTTATATCTATCTATCTATCTATCTATATATGTATATATTTTTATCACACTTTAACGAATTTCTATTAATAACAAACAATTTTTTTTGTAATTTTTACATTGGCTATAGTCCTAGCTTTCATTCGGTGAAAAATACTAGAAATTATTAGAAATGATTGTATTGGCTGACAAATTGTGTAAAATTGTTTAAAATATACTTTTTTACTTCATGAACTTTAAAACTCATTCAATGCATAAAAGCTCATCAAGTTCAATAATTATGTAATAGAGTTAAAGTATATTGTGACGAAATGGTGTAGAATAATTTCGCATAATTGGTTTTACATATATAGGCCTGTTAAAAATACTATGTATTTTAAATTACTTTCATCATTATATATTCAGTTTCAGTTATATATTTATATACATATAACAATTGTCATGTTTTGCATAGTATAGTGTTATATCGTATCTTCATACCATAGAATTTTTTTAAAAAAAGTTTTAATATTAGATATATTAATAGATATTTTAATAATATTAAAAGACTAAAAGTTATAGATTTTGCAATAAATTTCAAATAAAGACAGTATATTAGTTTCTGTGTATTTCTACTAATATATTTTTATCTTCCAGTGCCCCGGAAATACTTGCCGCCCGTGGTTCGACCTTACAAAGTAGCCCTGACATTGGCCTGCATGGAATTGGCGTCCGGGATCGCGCTGTCCTTGTTGGCTTTGTGGCTTCTGATGTGGGCACCCAATGCGGACCCAAGGCATAATCCTTATTGGAGTGGACTCACTGTAAGTTAAATAACTCATGTCTGTTTTATTAGTGTTGTTAGACAAGATTTAAATATACAGTCAACCCTCGGTTAACGCGGCAAGTCTGCACTCTGTACCGTCCAGTATGGGAACAGTGCTATAAAAAACTCGTATTTAACATACAATTCAGGCTAATTCGTAGAGCGTTCTATGGAAACTTATATAGTGCAGTATGGGAACCGTGTTATGAGAGACTCAGAGTTAGTACAAATCGCATCATTTTTATCGTGCTGTATGGAGACCAAGAAATACAATTTGAAGTAGGAGTAATACGGACGAAATGACATGTAGGACATTGACACCTAATTCAAAAATTGGCGCGACGCCGTAGTCGGTTCAAACTTGTTCTTAGACAGCTATTATATAATCAGGAATGTCTAAAAGATAAAAGTCGATAACAAAACTTACATGAATACCCTTTTGATATCAAGTTCCTATAATCACTCATAGGTTGTTCGAAGAAATTATGGGCTGTTGAACAAAAACCGTGTAATAGGAAGTCCGTGTAGTCGTAGGGATGTCCAATTTTTAGCTCCGCGTAGTATGGCAACCCAGAGTGGCGTGTTAACCGAGGTTTGACTGTATATTACAATCGGAAACAGGAACACGCAATACAAAGAAGCAAGTAGCAAAACTGGTAGTAATTATTAAAATAAATTTTCGTAGTTAACATAATCATGCTATAACTAATATGCCTCTTTTTGTATAAGAATTTTTCATCTTGCTGCTTAAGGCAATTGATGATATTATTTAAGAAAATGAAGCACTTGCAGTAAAGCGAAATTAAATAATGAACAATGTTCCTCAATATGAAATGACTTTGCGACAATAATTTACTTCTCTCTAGAATTGCAATGCACAGGTGATTCAATTTATCAAATTTTCTATGGCATAAATGTTTTAAGTTCTTACATAACTTAATGTAAATTTATTTTTATTTATATTTTAAAACATCTTATACAAATATAGGTTAACAAATAAAATATCTGCTAAAATATAAAAAATCTTATATAGATCAGGTTGAAATATCAAATCGTTTGATTAATTTAATTTAAAAAAGTTGTTCTGAAGTAGAGTATATATTAAAAAATAGCTTTCATTGTGTAAATAATTCATAACAAAGTATTACAATAATAGTCTATGTTGTGGATTTATTGTATATATACGTTATTCGGTAATTCCATTCCATATCCATTAACATTTCAATTAAGTTTACATTGCATCTATTTTCTCTATTTGTAAATCATAAATTTAATTTTTATTTATTTCATAATGATTTCGAGAAAATGTTTTTTTATAGATTACTAGCTGTTCCTGTTCACGCTTTGCCGTGATTTAGTTTAAATTAAAAAATTGAACAAAGATGCATATTTGTTACATTTAGTTTAACGTTACTATTATCTGTTCAACAATTTACCTATTCAACAATTTGATACTGATAGCCTCCCTTAGTTCATATTTTTTGTGGCGCTGCAGTCACGCACATAGCGACAAACGCGCCATTTGTAAATGCCATTTGATTAACGTCTCATCTTTCTATAAACATACTCTATGCTTCAAGTGTCAAATAATGAATTAAATTTTTGTTAAAATCATTTATCATATTTTAAAAGATTGTTGATTAAAGCAGATCTTTATTTAGAATAGGAATAGTTTTAAAATATTTAGTGAGTGCAAGCAGTGAAAATATTCGAAAATGTCAGAAGAAACATTTATGTCAGTGAATTATCAGGCAATTAAAATTGAACGACCAGAATATATACCGGAAGATATTAAAGTCGAAATTGAAGATGTTACTGTTAAATCTGAATCGTTTTCTGAGGATGATGAAACGTGTTTTGAAAGATTTATGAATTCCGAGGTGACAATTGAAAATGAAGTCAAACAGGAGTCTTTTGATTGTGATATTTGTAATCAATCATTTGCAGAATCCCATCATTTAACAAAGCATATGGTCGATCACATGCCTAATCTTACCAAAGAACACCCTTACAAATGTGAAATCTGCGAAAAGACTTTCAAACAATCAACTGCTTTGAAAACTCACATGTTTATTCATAGCGATGAGCGTCCCTATGAATGCAAGGAATGCAATAAGACATTCAGACATTCAAGTAGTCTGAACAAACACATGCTAATTCACAGTGATGAGCGCCCCCATCAATGCAGTATATGCGAAAAGACTTTCAAACAAACAACTGCTTTGAAAACTCACATGCTTATTCATAGCGATGAGCGTCCCCATGAGTGCAAGGAATGCAATAAGACATTCAGACATCCAAGTAGTCTGAACAGACACATGCTTATTCACAGTGGTGAGCGCTCCCATCAATGCAGTATATGCAAGAAGACATTCACACATGTATGTAATCTAAAAAGTCACATGCTCATTCACAGTGGTTCGCTCATTCGCCCCCATGAATGCAATGAATGCGACAAAACATTCAAAAAATTAGATCATCTGAAAAAACACATGCTGATTCACAATGGTGATCGCCCTCATCAGTGCGATGTATGCAATAAGACATTCACACGTTTAAGTCATATGAAACGTCACATGTTAATCCACAGTGGTGAGCGCCCCCATCATCAATGCAATATATGCAATAAGACATTCACACTATTAAAAAGTCTGAAACTTCACATGCTTATTCACAGTGGAGAACGTCCCCATGAATGCAATATTTGTAATAAGACATTCACACAAATAGGTAATCTGAAAAGTCACATGCTCAACATTCATAATGGTGAGCGACCCCACATATGCAATATATGCAAGAAGACATTCACAGAATTAGATAGAATGAATCGTCACATAAAGCTGATACACAAAAGGGTAAGCTCCCATGAATGCACTATGTGCAATAAGATATTCCCACGATTAAATAATCTGAAAAAACACATGCTGATTCGTCACAGGGAGCATTCTTAAAAATGTGGAATATGCAATAAGGAATTTACTCAAGAGTTTTGAAGAGACATATGGCCCTTCATAGTATGAAGCATGATGAAAATCAGTAAAATTTGTTAAATTGTATTTAAATATTTGGAAACATGTATGAAAATATTTGGAATACTTTTACATGTAATGGAATGTACAAAATAGTATGAAATATAAAGTAAAAATATGCATGAATTAATAATCTAGGCATTTATTATATATTATATTATTTTTTTCATAGATTTTTATAGATTAGTATGGATTAGCAATCACTGGTTCAGGATTTAGCCGACCGCTTTGGTTTGGATAATGATTAAAATATACTTATAATAATGATGATGATGATTTAAGAATAATCATAGTTTTTAGTATCATATAGTCTAATTTAACTTGAAAATAATTCATATATCAGTGCGTTATATATAATTTTCAATAATTTCACACTTTAATTCAATAGACATCACCTTTGTTTTTGGCCCCATGGTTATAAAAATAAATAATATTTTATAAATGTACAAAATTAAGAAACACTATTTCCACGCACACATATATATATGTGTATATATATATATATATATATATATATCTATATAAATGAAATAAAATGACTATTTATGAAATAAATTATTCAGTCTAAATATTTCTATGGTTGGAAAACCATGATATTAGTTAATTTCAGCTTCAGTAAAATGACTTTCCAGCATTATTATTGCAAAAAATTTAATCAAATTTGTCTAACTATGATTCTAATTTGATACTTTTTATAACAAAAATAGTTAGAATTTTGTTTTGTAAGAAATGATATTTTGATATGGGTATTTAATTTAATAATTGGATAATTATTTAATGAATAATTGATTGAACAGGTACAAGTCACCACATAAACAAAATTTTAAGCATTAAATCATTTATAATATTAAATCACCAGATATACCCCAGATTAAGAAATTAAATATTAATAATAACCATAGATAAAAGAAGAGTATAATAACGTTCATTCAGTTTTACGGCCTCGACAGAAAATCAAACTCAATTACAATTTTAATGCTGATATATTTACCTAATAAATTTACATAAAGTATTACAAATATCGGTTGAAAAATAACTAAAAAATATAATGTATTACCAAATTTAAAATATGTTCAGAAATTTAATGCATCTGAAAACAATTCACATAAAATTTGAACTTAAATGATAAGGTATGTTTAATTATTAGTAAGAAAAATGTAATTCAGAACTTACAATTGCCAGAAAACAACTACTTAAGTCATAAAGTTTATAAGGAAAATTATGGGCAATGAATGAAAATAAATTAAACTGTTGACAATAAATTCGTTTTAAAAAAATTATAGTGTATAATTTTTAATATACATAATTGTAATGAACATACTTCGATATATTTGGCAAGCATATTTGTTTGTTTGACATGTTTTTATGTGGCTGATGTGGTTTAAATCAGTCTTTAGGGTTAGTCAATATATATATATATATATATATATATATATATATATATATATATATATATAACAATTGCCCTGGTTATTAATAAATGCATATAATTTAATGTTTACTGTATATTTCATACTATTTGTATATTACATGCAAGAATATTTTATGACATATTCAATTTAACAGATACGTTTAGATTCATTGATTTTCATCACACTCCCGACTATGAAGTGCCATGTGTTTCTTTAAATTGCCTGATTGATTAAATTCCTTATTGCATATTTCACATTTATAAGACCGCTCTCCATGTTGAATCTGTAAATGTTCTTTTAGAGAACTTAATCGTTTGAATGCCTTATTACATTTATTGCATTCATGGGGATGTACTTCATTGTGTATCACCATGTGACGTTTCAGACTACCTGATTGTGTGAATGTCTTCTTGCATATACTGCATTCATGGGGGCGCTCACCACTGTGAATGAGCATGTGTCTGTTCAGGTGGCTTGTTTGTATGAATGCCTTATTACATATAATGCACTTATGGGGACGCTCATCGCTATGAATAAGCATGTGAGTTTTCAAAGCAGTTGTTTGTTTGAAAGTCTTTTCGCATATACTGCATTGATGGGGGCGCTCACCACTGTGAATTAGCATGTGTTTGTTCAGACTACTTGAATGTCTGAATGTCTTATTGCATTCCTTGCATTCATGGGGACGGTCATCGCCATGAATGAGCATGTGAGCTTTCAGAGAGCCTAATTGTGTGAATGTCTTCTTGCATATACTGCACTCATGGGGTCGCTCACCACTATGAGTTAGCATGTGAACTTTCAGACTGCCCAATTGTTTGAATGTCTTATTGCATTCATTGCATTCATGGGGACGTTTACCGCTATGAATGAGCATGTGACTTTTTAGATAACATACATGTTTGAATGTCTTTTTGCATATACTGCATTGATGGGGGCGCTCATCACTGTGAATTAGCATGTGTTTGTTCAGACTACTTGAATGTCTGAATGTCTTATTGCATTCATTGCATTTACGTGGACGCTCACCACTGTGAATAAACATGTGAGTTTTCAAAACACTTGATTTTTTTAAAGTCTTTCCACAGATTTCACATTTAAAAGGGCGTTCTTTGCTTTGGTTAGGCATGTGATCGACCACATGCTTTGTTAGATGATGGGATTCTGCAAATGATTCATTACAAATATCACATTCGAAAGACTCCTGTTTGACTTCATCTTCAATTGTCACCTCGGAATTCATAAATCTATCTAAACGGGTATCATCGTCTTCAGAAAACGATTCAGATTTAACAGTAACATCTTCAATTTCGAGTTTAATATCTTCCGGTATATATTCTGGCGGTTCAGTTTTAATTGCCTGATCATTCATAGACTTAAAAGTTTCTTCTGACATTTTGGAATATTTTCACTGCTTGTACTCACTAAATATTTAAAAACTATTCCTACTCTAAATAATGATCTGCTTTAATCAACAATCTTTTAAAATGTGATAAATGATTTCAACCAAAAATTATTATATTGTCTAGGATTTCAACTAAATACAATTTGACATGTGAAGCGTGAAGGTGAAGCATAGAGTAATGCTTTTATAAAGATGAGACATTAATCAAACAGCGTTGATAATTAACGAGTGGCGCGTCTTTTCAAATAAATTATGATTTTCACATGGTTCTCAAATGTCTATAAACGTTTTCATTATTAATAGGCAAAAAAATAAACATAAATAGCTTGATTTGTAAAAAAAGATTTTACGTTGTTTCGTCCCTTTCATTTCTCTATCAATCTAATTTGCAAAATATTCCTCATATATATTTTTTTAAACACTTCTTTATTAAATACAGTACTTAAATAAATTATTAATTAATAATTATAAATAATTATAATGTACAATGTTATGTAAAAATTTATATAATTAATATTAAGTATTTCATTCAGGAAAATCATTGTTACAAATGACAAAATGTATTATATTTTCATTTTCTCATCAAAATTTTTCAAGAAAGCTTTTACTTACTTGCTAAAATTTTGTATCTCGAATTTTGCTCTTATGTCAAAGCAACGAATCACTTCTTTAGCGGCTTGTATCTCGAAAAACTCGTTTGTCAGGTATCAATATTCAGACTTTTTATTTAAATAAATTTTATTACAAAACAAATAAATAAACTTAAAATGCATGTTCTTCATGGTTACAATATAACAATTATGAAAAATTTAGAAATATGAATTTAATAAAACATCTTGGCTTTATTACTCAGACTTGTTGATGATTTTTCTTTATTCAATCTTGCTCTTCCGGGCTGATATATTGCTATACTAGGTCGATCTTGCAACAAAAAATAATAATTGAACTATAAATTATATCCTTATACTTGCTTTTGCAAACCTTATATCTTATTCTGCGTTCAGTCCTGGGATCAGATTTTTTTGAATCCTTAGGTTTTACATCATCGTTTTCTCTGGCCTGATTGTTCATTGTGTTGTTCCTCACTTGGTTTAGTAGAATCCGTTTATTCCTGATCATTTTCCTTATTTATTTCTTTCTATTTAATTTTTTCAAAGGTTCTTCACTATTTGCTTCACAAATGCTATAACTGAATCACTTTTTGATGTATTTATCACATCTTTGACCATAGCATCTGATGCATCATTTTTTTCTAAACTATCTTCAGATCAGAGATGTTAATATTTTTGCTTTGATCACCATCTGTGTCATCAATCTTATCTGTTTTAGAGTCTTTCACGGATTCAGTTTTATCATTATCGATTTCATTATCCTTTTTTGGCTATTTTTTCAGCTCATTTCTTCTAGCTTCTCTTTCCTTTCTGACTTCACTATCTTTTTTGACCTGAAACTTTTTCTGAGAGCATAATCTACATATATATAAAAATAAGTCGGGTTTTCCTTCCTGACGATATAACTCAAGAACGCACAACCCGATTTTGACAATTTTGCATTCGTTGGAAAGGTCTCGGCCTCCGCAAGGTTTATAGCAAAAATTAGTGGTGCCTTAATGCAAGTTGCTGAAACTTCACGCACCGTAATTATAAATTCGAGTAATGACATTAGTGAGAATTATCAGAATTATGCTTGGTTAAGTCAACAAGCAATTCTTGCCGCAAAGAATAATGATGTACACGCACTGAATTTCACCATTCAATCAAAAATTGCTGGCGATTTGGTGACATACCAATGATTCCAATTGGTCTTCCGTTTAACTTCAAACGATTGCAATTTCCAGTTTGCCTTGCGTTCGCAATAACAAGTCGCAAGGCCAATCGCTTAGTGTTTGCGGGATAAATTTCAAACTGATTATTTAGAAAATCATTGTTTTTCAATTGGGCAGTTATACGTTGCCTGTTCACGAGTTGGAAAACCATCCGCTTTGTTAGACCAAAAAACAAAAAATGTGGATTACCAAAGAGCACTTCAATGAAACGGATAATTTGCGGATTCACTTTTATTTACTTAGAGAAGTTCGACTTCATTATTGTAATCGAAATAAATTCATTACTGTTGTGAAATAAAATCAAAATTTTCCTCTTCAAATATAAAACAAACAAAAAATTTCTTCATCTTTCTCACGAAACCATCTGGTGGCAAAACGGAGTTCGTCGGGTTTGCTAGTTTTTTCATAAATCTAAGATGGGGCTCAACCGAATAAAGGTTGGGAAACCCTGCTTTAAAGGCAACAGATAAATTATTTTATGCTTTATTATTTTATGTTTTAATTTTAATACATTGTTTTGTTATTACAGCTTGCTCTTTCTGGTGGATTAAGCCCATTGATGTTAAGCTGCTGCCGAAAGGAATATCCTGGATCTAATGAATATTGTGTTGCAGCTTTCAAGGTACCCACTTATATATAAATACAATTTTTGAAGAACATCGTTTAATTTCCTGAGTTATTTTAGTAAAATAACGAATGTTGCCTTCACTTCTGTAGGATTAGGAGCTATCTACCCTACGTTGGTGGAATAAAATAATAACGTAATAATAATGATAATAATTATACTTGTAATGCCTGAAAGTATTTTTCTAATTGTAAACTAAGATAATCATCAACTCGAAATCTTAAAGGGGTAGATTTTTTTGATTATCTACATTACATGCATAATAATAATTTGTTTTAATGAACTAAGAGACAAAGGGTATGGGCGTGTTTCCATACAGAATTGGCCCCACCCTGGTATTTAAATAATTTTGATGCCATTTTATAGGTATTTTCGAGAAAATCCGATATACCAAATTTCAAATCCGTAGCTCATCATTTGGCCGAGATATCATTGAAAATGTGTGAAAGTGGCCCCTTTTTTCAAAGTCGTTTTTTGTCGCAACTATGAAAGATATCGACAAAGAAATAACTGGACTCTATTCACATCAATGTGTACTATATTATTGATGAAAAATATTGTTTAATAATTATTTTTTAGTGCATGAAAAAGTGAAAATAATTTTTTGTTTTAAATTTTCCGGTAGTGCGGTTGTTTGGACTAATTTTTAATTAGCATCATTAGAAAGGATATTGAATTTCCTTTTAGTGTGCAAAATTTTGTTTTATTTCATGTGGTAGAACACATTCAAAAATAGGAAAAACCTGAGCAAGTACACGCTCGCGCTCATATAGAACCCGTGTAAGTCGTCTCTCATTCGCAATGACTAGCAACAGCATTGCTCGCCGCGCATCGTGATAAATTAAAACATTTCTAATAAAATACAAGATATTATATATGTATAATAATAACTATATTTTTATTTAAATAAATATATATTATTTATGTATTGCACAAGTATATTATATTATTTAATCATCTTTAATAATTAATTAATTAATTATTACCTATTAATTAATTATTAATTATTAATTCATTATTAATTATTAATTATCACTAAATAAAGAAAAAATAAATTGATAAAAAATATACATAATAATAGTATATCGGTATATGATTTCTATTCATGCTACAGCAATGTATAGAAATGCAAGTATACTAAGTTAGTCTGAAAATATTTTAAATATCTTGAAGTTTTTTTTAAATTAAATAATATGTAAAGATATATTGAATAGAATATCTCTACTTATAAATAATAATAAAAAAACTTCAAGATATTATTTAAAATATTTTCAGACTAACACATTCAGACATACATTGCTGTAGCATGAATAGAAATCATATACCGATATACTATTATTATGTATATTTTTTATCAATTTATTTTTTCTTTATTTAGTGATAATTAATAATTAATAATGAATTAATAATTAATAATTAATTAATAGGTAATAATTAATTAATTAATTATTAAAGATGATTAAATAATATAATATACTTGTGCAATACATAAATAATATATATTTATTTAAATAAAAATATAGTTATTATTATACATATATAATATCTTGTATTTTATTAGAAATGTTTTAATTTATCACGATGCGCGGCGAGCAATGCTGTTGCTAGTCATTGCGAATGAGAGACGACTTACACGGGTTCTATATGAGCGCGAGCGTGTACTTGCTCAGGTTTTTCCTATTTTTGAATGTGTTCTACCACATGAAATAAAACAGAATTTTGCACACTAAAAGGAAATTCAATATCCTTTCTAATGATGCTAATTAAAAATTAGTCCAAACAACCGCACTACCGGAAAATTTAAAACAAAAAATTATTTTCACTTTTTCATGCACTAAAAAATAATTATTAAAAAATATTTTTTATCAATAATATAGTACACATTGATGTGAATAGAGTCCAGTTATTTCTTTGTCGATATCTTTCATAGTTGCGACAAAAAACGACTTTGAAAAAAGGGGCCACTTTCACACATTTTCAATGATATCTCGGCCAAATGATGAGCTACGGATTTGAAATTTGGTATATCGGATTTTCTCGAAAATACCTATAAAATGGCATCAAAATTATTTAAATACCAGGGTGGGGCCAATTCTGTATGGAAACACGCCCATACCCTTTATTTCCATCTACTAAAATTCAATTAAAGAACAGACATGCAACAGCCTCAGCCAACTTGAACTTTTTTTTCAATACTGTTCTTTAAATTTATATTCTTTTAAAAGATTTCAAATATTTTGTTAATATTTAAATTCAGATATTTTTTTAATTCTTTAACAGTGTTATTTTCTAGGATGGGTATAATGAGAAGTATCAAATTAATATTTAATAGTTGGTTCGATGTACGTTTATAACTTATGTCTCATATCAAGTGAAAATTTAGAGCATTTGCTGAAGTCATTGTTGAAAAAAATGGAAGTGGTTTTAAACAAAACAACATTTTTTGGGCATTTTGTTATTAATGATGGTTACTTATGGAACACTTTTTATGTTTCCAAACTTACGATATTAAGTGGAATTTTGTCTTAAGTCAAGTTGCCAAAACTTTATTCCAAATTTTATTAAACCTTCAATATTGTAGAATGTTTTTTTAGAATATCATAAACTCTATAAAAAAAACGATTCAGCCAACCAAATTATCAAAAACAATCACGATTTCCAACTACTTAATATATTTTGATCCGTTTCTAAATATTCAAATCATTCAAAATTTGTTCAGGATTTTTGGCGATTATGGGAACGAACAATTTTGCACTAATTTGATTATTAAGAAAAAAAAAACGGTTTGGCTGATCGTCTCTTGAAACTAACAGCTATCGTGAGTACTTTTTTAGTTTCATCAAATGTCTTTTAAATGATTAAAATCAGTGCAGACGTTTTTGGAAACGAACGGCCAAACTTGGAAACACATGCACTTTCAATTTTGGTTTCAAATGTCACATGATGACTTGAAACGTTGAAAAAATTAACGAATCAGATTTGTGGGAATACTCATTTTTCTTTGGAAAGTTAGTAAATAAATATAAAATTGACTGAAAGAAAACTGTATGTTTTATTGATATTTTGAATTGAGCTAATTTATTACTTTGTTTCAGATCATCTGCATTTTAGCTAGTGCTTTAGCTACAGTATTATGCTTCGTGGCTTGCCTTTACGCAGTTCTGCACCTGAACTCCTTATCAGATATGACATGTGAGCCTGGTAACCTGATGAACACAACCTGCATGTGCCGCCCATCTGGTGAACTGATCGCCCCCGAAACTCGAGCTGAAGCCAGGACTCAATTTAAAACATTGGATTTAAATAAAGACAAGCTCCTCATTCAAAATGTGACGGAATCCCATACAAGGAATGATATGACAGTATATTGGTATCATTATAAAGATTTGAATTGTCAAGATGTCCAAGGGCCGTGGACAGCATTGATGTACGTTTCTGCTATGTTAAACGGAGTAGGAGTTGTCGTTTGTTCAGTATTTCTGTATTTGTTCTGGGCCAGCCGAAAAGAATACAAGTACGCCAAAGTCAAAACGAGAGACAACCAGAACATCGTCATCCACCAGGCTGACTCATGATGTCTCTGAGGGATTTTATTGTTTTGTACTTAAGGATTTTATGAAATTTTTATTTAGGAAAATGCATTTCAATGTTAAAAACAGTGTTCATCGTTCGAATGAATGTATATCGTCCATATTGTGTTGTATAATTAGTTTGTAAATTAATATTGTTAATTATAGATAGTGAACGCTATAAAATGCTTTTTACATGCCGTTAAAGATTAAAATTTCAAGAATACAAATTTGCATTTAGTAGTAATCGTTTGTTAATTACAAAGAAGTTTAAATATATACTTGGCCTATATAAGAACACTCTGTATAATGTTTCACATATGTTTTGATTAGTGCTATGGAAATGATAATTTATATTTTTTTACAATTTATTTATAAATAAATGTACATAATTGAGTAATATAATTAATAAACGCATCTGTATATTTAATAGTCTGTATAAGTGAAATTATTTTATTAAACTCTTTATTTTTTTAATTAGGGAAATGTGGCAACAGCGACAAGAATTGACATCAGATTGACCAGAATTTCAGGATAGCAGTCCAGTATAGTTAGGCAGCATGAATTAAAATAGTCAATCAGAATAGTTAATCATTCTGTAAAACTATGAGGAAAGTTTACTTGACTCTAGGATGGATTTTTTCATGAAAAACATTCATTGTTTTCACTAAACTCTTACCAAATGGATTTGATGGCTTCTTATTTGTTTCGGATAAAATTACAGTAATTGAGAATTGTTTAGGATAAAATTATAGTAATTCAAACTCAATAATATTTTTATTTTATAGTACTAAGATGAAAGAAAATAACGAAAAATTCTCATGTATATTGGAAGCAGTTAGTCTTAAACTTAGATTTTAACAACAAACATTTTACCACTTCAGAACTTTTCTTGGATATCATAAATCGAAGGGTCTAGGATTTATGTGAGTTTTCTAATTTAAAGTATTATGTTTTATCTCTTGATAGATGTTTTAAAATCATCATTAGCCCAGTAAATCACAAAACGTAAATGTTACGTAGTGCCACCACGTGCGCACGTAGCAGCTACGTAACCTGTGGAAGTATCCATGAAGAATCTGTTTCGTGGGCAAGAAGATAACGGCTGTTACGTTGCACGCTAATACGACGCGGTTGCATTTTTGCTACGTATGTAGCAAAATCTATCTATCTATTTGAATAAAAAAGCGCGTACATATCTTTTATGTTACATAATAATTTAATTAAAATTCCTGCAGTGAGTGCAGGCATTTATTATTTATCTAAAGCACTAATATAAGTAATATAAGCAATTTCTACTATATATTTTTATATTTAAATCGAGTACCTCACAAAATTTATTTACACAATATTCATAAGCATTGTAAATTTATTTTTTCCGTGGCAATTTTTGGCAACCAGGTGAGCACTTCCAAAAGCACATGGCTATCCAATCCAAAGTCTTGGTCATGGCTGCAAATAGTTAAATAACTATTTTTAACTAGAAATTAAGTTGCAACTGTTGATAAACATCAAATTGCATAGTTTAATTTACAGTTAATATAATCAAAATGCATGGTACTATGTTATTTGGCATTTGCATGATGATAATATGGAATTTAATGGAGAATAATCTACAATAGTAAAAAAAAGTTTTCTTATGCAGACATTTATAACAACTATGTTGTTAAGTTTTATTACATTACCAAAAATGGTTATTGAGGATGCCTTGCAAAAATTTTTTGTTAACTATTATATGCTTAATATAAAGGTTTTATAATAATCTTACGCGATAGTTCACGATGTTGAGAACGTCTTCCATACACAGATCCATCAGAAACTATAAAATTCCAAACAAAATATGAATAAATATTTTTATTATTTTAGTCTCGAATTGGAACAAAGTAATAGAATAATTGTGCCATTTGCAAAACCAAAAGTAAGACTCAATTTTATGTTATTCTTCACCTGCTGAGTGTGATGATCGACTTCTGGTGGCAGCAAAATTGGACACTTTTTTTGTGTATTCGTCCACATCAGGACTGTAAGTTATTCTGCGTTTTTTCAAATCACCTTTTCCCTTTGCTGTACAATTGACACTTTTCAGACATTGTCGACATGTTGATTCCGAATCAAAACTTTCTGAACTAAATTTGGATTCTACTCTCGATGGTGTATCATAGAATCCATTGTCAGGTGCGCCTTCCCCGCTCATTGACATTTAATTAAGTTATTTCTGATGGATTAGAAGTTAGGATAATGTTTATTGGCCTACTGGGAAACAAATTGATAACTTGTTATTGATTTTTTGACATTGGGTAAGAGAAATATTTTAGGTATTGGATGAAATTGTAGGAGCAGTATGGAGACATCTTCTACAAACTTAGCTAACACTGCGAAAAGGAATATGATTAACAATTAGATTAGATTTATTTTAAATTTAGTATACCTAATTATATCTTTTCAATTTTGTTTCTTTTCTATATTTCCAAAGAATTTCTATATTTCTTTTTACCAGAGAATTCGATGGAATAGTTTTATGTTTACGCAACGTTTCAAGTTATTATGAAACGTTTGAGAGCAAAATTGAAGCAAGAGTGTGACCCGAAATTTGACCTTTTCCCGACAACTCCGAAACGGCTGCACTGATTTCTAAAATTTAAAAGTCATTCGATAAAACTAGATAAAGATTCGCGTTGATTAGTTTTTCGTGACGATGCGCCGAGCCGTTTCTTCATAGCAAATAAGTTCAATTTTCGGAAATTCAAAAACGTTTTAAAAAATATTTGGAATCGTGATGATTAGTATTTGATAAAGTTCGTACACGCCATTTCTTCGTAATTAATTGTAAAAAAATACAATTTTAATGAAATTTTGAATTGCTGTAGAGTTCATGGTCTTAACGAGCATACTATATCCTGCAAATCTACGAAAAGTGGTTTAATAATAAAAATTTAATTATAATAATAGTTCTGAAATAATAGCTTAGATTTCAAATATATTTTATTACATTATATTGGGTATAATACAATATATCCATGGATATAAGATAATTGAATACATCTTTTCTACCCTAAGGTCCTTAGGGTATTACACATTTTTAACATTTGTTTCTACTGCGATAAATAAAAATAATTGTAATAACAAGATCTACATGTAACAAAAAAGAAAAACGGTTGCTAGTTTTCCAAAAAATCACAACTTATTTTAAATATAACCAAAAAGGGAGAAAAATTGAAGGACAATACAAAGACATAAACCATTCCCTTAGTTATGACATAGACAATAGACAATACTTGGTTACATAAAACATATTTATCAGCCGCTATGGGTCGATCAGGGTATAGTTTGGCATGACGTGGAAATAATGGGCAATGCTCTTAGGACATTTACCGTGTATGTCATCAGCGCATGTATGACATTTTTTTGTATTATTTATATTTTATAATGAAAATTTCAACAATGAGGAAAATGTGAAAACTAGATATATATTGTCATTCCTTTAAAACCTGGACCAGATTAATATATCTAATGGTGTATAAAAGCGATATATAAATGTATATATACATTTATATATATAAATATATATATATAAATGTATAATAATATATATATAAATGTATATATACATTTATATATATATTGATATTTCTCCTAAGCCGAGACCATAATTATATATCTAATGGCGTATAAAGCAATATATAAATGTATATATTGATATTTCTCCTAAGCCGGGACCATAATTATATATCTAATGGCGTATAAAGCGATATATAAATGTATATATTGATATTTCTCCTAAGCCAAGATCATAATTATATATCTAATGGCGTATAAAGCGATATATAAATGTATATATTGGTATTTCTCCTAAGCCGAGATCATAATTATATATCTAATGGCGTATAAAGCGATATATAAATGTATATATTGATATTTCTCCTAAGCCGGGACCATAATTATATATCTAATGGCGTATAAAGCGATATATAAATGTATATATTGATATTTCTCCTAAGCCAAGATCATAATTATATATCTAATGGCGTATAAAGCGATATATAAATGTATATATTGATATTTCTCCTAAGCCGAGACCATAATTATATATCTAATGGCGTATAAAGCGATATATAAATGTATATATTGATATTTCTCCTAAGCCGGGACTATAATTATATATCTAAGGGCGTATAAAGCGATATGTAAATGTATATATTGATATTTCTCCTAAGCCGGGACCATAATTATATATCTAAGGGCATATAAAGCGATATATAAATGTATATATTGATATTTCTCCTAAGCCGGGACTATAATTATATATCTAAGGGCGTATAAAGCGATATATAAATGTATATATTGATATTTCTCCTAAGCCGGGACCATAATTATATATCTAAGGGCATATAAAGCGATATATAAATGTATATATTGATATTTCTCCTAAGCCGGGACTATAATTATATATCTAAGGGCGTATAAAGCGATATATAAATGTATATATTGATATTTCTCCTAAGCCGGGACCATAATTATATATCTAAGGGCGTATAAAGCGATATATAAATGTATATATTGATATTTCTCCTAAGCCGGGACCATAATTATATATCTAAGCGCATATAAAGCGATATATAAATGTATATATTGATATTTCTCCTAAGCCGGGACTATAATTATATATCTAAGGGCGTATAAAGCGATATATAAATGTATATATTGATATTTCTCCTAAGCCGGGACCATAATTATATATCTAAGGGCATATAGAGCGATATATAAATGTATATATTGATATTTCTCCTAAGCCGGGACCATAATTATATATCTAAGCGCATATAAAGCGATATATAAATGTATATATTGATATTTCTCCTAAGCCGGGACTATAATTATATATCTAAGGGCGTATAAAGCGATATATAAATGTATATATTGATATTTCTCCTAAGCCGGGACCATAATTATATATCTAAGGGCATATAGAGCGATATATAAATGTATATATTGATATTTCTCCTAAGCCGGGACCATAATTATATTATAATTATATTATAATAGCGTAAAAAGGAATCCAATAAGATTCCTAGATTTATAGAGGAGATTGCATGCAGCGCCTCTATGCAAAATTGTTCCCAGTTTCTCGGGAACTACGTAGTGACAACCGGGTTCATATGGTTCTGTGTCAGATGGCGCCACCGACGTGTATGTCAA